GTGTATAATGATGTGATTGTGATGCTGTAATTCTGAGTGTTTTATGTGCTGCAGAACAGGAACCTGCTGTAAAACAGCAATTATGCTGAATCAGGCTTGATTTTTAATAATCTTTTCCTGTTAAATAAATAAATAAATCAAATCAAGTACATCGCTATCAGTTTATGACTTTTCACTTACTTCGGTTCTGCAGCAGGACAGCGATCGGAACCAAAACAACAAAACTCTTCCACGGCCACGTTAAAGACTCATTGTAAGTTATCGTAACCGCTATCATAAACGCTTGACTGAAGTTGCTGTAAAGTGCAACACAACCAGTAATTAGATTTAGAGGGTAATTACTTTTCCACATAGGACCAGGTTTGTTCAGTTCGGGTTGGGTCCCCCCCCCCGCAAATTAAAAAACTTTAAAAACTGCCTTTTGTATTTACTCAGATTATTTTGTGAGTGACAAAAGAAGCAAAAACYGAGAAAATCTGTAAGGCGGGGGATATTTTTCACAGTACTGTGCCTGCAGCGTAATGTGCTTTATAAATAAAACTGTCGTGGTCATTTATCAAACCCAACCGTGGCCCTGCAGCACTCGCTCTTGGCCCTCGTGCTCACCCAGTGTCTCTGTGTTGCTCTGAAGCGGGATCTTGCTGAAGTCTTTGACAAACGTGCAGTCGCTCCCCTCAATCATGCATTTGTCTTCAGGACCTTGTGGGAGAGAGCAGAGATACCAGGTAAAATAACTGCCTTTACTCATCAATGATAGTCATAAACAAGTCACAGATGGATGTGCTGCTGGATTCATTAGGAGGAGACGGACAGAAGAAAAAGGGTGTGTGAGTGTGTGGAGCCGTTGGTCAGCAAAAAGCACAGCAGCATTGTATATCATGTCCTTCTCTGCCTGCTTCGTGTCTCCAGTGATGCCCTTGTTACCTCCGAGGTGGGTGTGTGCGGGCCTGTGTGTTAACCGCTGTTTAAATAGCTGCCTGTAGATGTTATGTGTGTCTGGAGAAGGCGAGTCATCGACCTTTCTAGAGCAATAGGTTTTTTTATTGTCCTGTAAGCACTCTGTGTGATGGAGTCTGAGGCTAAACTCTTCAGGAAGGAGGAGGAGGAGGTGGTTGGGGGTGGAATAGATTGCTTTTGGAAGGCAATTATCAAACAGCCAAGGTGACAGAGGGAAGGAGAGGTGGTGGAGTTGATGTGGAGTCCCGGGCTCGTTGATGTGTTGGCGCTTCAATTAGACCGGCACACAGGGGTCCACGTTAATTATGCACCAGAAATGAGCAGCACTGAGAAGGCAGAGGTCTGCAGTTCTGTAAAATCTGTTCTGCTGTTCGTTTGTAGGCTGTCTGGTCTTTAAACACCCTGACAGACAACTGTGTTGTAAATGTGTAAATCAGGAGTTTACAGAGCAACAGGTTTGATCACAAAGTGTCAAAATGAATAAGAAGAAACTTGTGATGCACAATTTCTGCCAATCATGTTATTGCTTATTGCCAAACAATGCAGATCTTAAATAAACATCGATAGATGGGAGTTTTTCTTTAGCTGATGCCAATTTTAAGAAATCTGGGCTGCGATAAATGATGGTTGGGTGACATTGGCTAAAGAATTTATCAGAGTTTCATGTAGATTAATGTGACGATTAATAAATTACAATTTAACTTGAATGTTTTAGACTCTAAACCGGTTACACTGTGTTCTAAAATTAATCTTACAAACCATAAGTCAAACTAACTTTTGCATTTTATATTAGACATACAGTATCATGCTTTTAAATCCTTTTATTCCACTTTTAAATCCTTCAGTTGGGGTCTATGTAAAGTGGAACTGCAACGTTTTGGTCTGAATTCCTCCTTATTGTAACTCCACAAGCCCCTCTTTCACCCCTTTTCTGAGATGTGTCTCAGATAAACTCGTTTTGAGGCTGTCTCTTTAAATCCAAACAAGACACTTTACACCCTGCTCCCCTCCAACTTCCAGAGCGGTGCATTCTAGTTTGATAGCAGAGACAGGAATATACAGTGGCGCAAAAAGGTTTTATTAACAAAATAAAATAAAATAATGTCTACAGAAGACTTGCTCATCTATTTTTGCATGTTGGAGCCAGAGTCTGACCCAGAGCCAGAGAAGAATGAAGACCACCGAATTGTAGTTGAAAAATTCAGAAGTTAGAAGTTCTGTGGTGTGTTAATTAATAATTAATGGAGAAACGGCTACTTGTGAGCATACACATGCATATAGCTTGACATTATAGAGCCAGAGAGAGAGCTCGCAATTGTTGCTGTCACAATCTGCTGATGGGAGCAGCAGGTGTCACTCATTTGAACTTAAATCGTCAGAGTATGTGACTTGAATCTGTGAGTTCTACCTGCGAGGTCACGGAGACGGTTCAGTGTGGGGATAATGGGAGGGCTTCTCCTCTGCAGAAAGAACAGCACCATGATCGTGAGGGAGAAGTTGGTGATCCAGGGTCCTGCTACGCTGCTGGTGATACCGTTGGCCCAGGCACAGCACCTGACGGCGAAAATCAGACTGCGCACCCGTGGGTCCAGCTCTCCATACAGATACAGGAGCTCTGTGCTCTTCAACGCCACCCTGTGGACAAAACGCAGAAGAACAACTGCTGTTAATGATTATTATACAACACACAGAAATACTAAATGTTTTACAGTAAATGTCCAGAATAAAATGTTCCGGATCATGTTTAAATAATGGAAAAATGTTTTTTATAAAAAAAAAAAACATTTTACATTATGATATTTATTGAACGATTAATGTTTTCCTGTTTTGTTTAGATGCAATCAGTGGGCCTCATAAGGCCAACCTATAAAGACCAAAGAGGAGATATGCTAGATTATGTTAATGAGGGGATTATGTATTTTCCAGGCACAATTCTACACCACACTCAAGTAACTATGTTACCTTCAGTTATTATGAAAATGCTTTTTATCAAAAATAAATCTGACTTTGCATCATGGTCTATCTAAACACCTTGAAATTGGCCTCTGTCTCTTTGACCGTTTGGCCATTTCAGACACTCCCACTTCAGCCCTACTTCACGACAATGCTTCGAGGGAGCCGTGCTCTGTGGGGTGGGAGCTCGGCTTCAGACTGAGCTCCAAGAAGGAGCTTTGTACAAATAGGAGGAGTTTAGTACCAGCAAGTGTTGGTGGATGTCTACCACAGGAGATTCAAGGATTTCTCAGATATGTATGAATGAGTCAGAGCAACACTCTGTGTATGTGTTTGATGAGGGAATGACATTATTACATGATATAAAGCTAAATAAAAAGTCTATTTGCATAATTACGCCACCCCCACCCCGCCAGAACAAAGAAAAAAAAAACATCTAACCATAGTTTCACCAATCTGCTAAAAAATCAGGTGAAATTCAATAGAAATAGAAATGAGACTTCTTTGAATGAATGCATATTACCCACCTCCTTTTATACTGGAGTTTTAGACTTAATACAGTTTTGTGATGAGAAACAACAAAGTTGTAACTGTTTTGGTCAAACTCAGACAACGTCAGCCTCACAGTACTGTATATGTTGTGAATGACTCTTGGCTACAAACAAACTAAATTTTTCCTCAATATCTGCAAAACTGGCTGAATTATAGCCATTTTAGTGTTTTCTACTGTTTAGTGCTGGCCATCTTGAATTGGATTGACTCCAAATATTAATCAGTTACAGACGTACATCTAGTGAGTACTTCAGTAAGTTTCATAAATATGTATTCAGTGGTGGATTCATTGTTTTGGTAACAAGACATACAAACACACAAAAACACTATTGCCTGCACGCAATGGTAAATTCAATTAAAGGTAGAATTCTTTTAAATGCTGAACTTCACAACATTTTTACAGTGGATAAATAACAGCATGCGAATGGCTGGAAACGAGCCTAAATATGAATCAAATTACAACAACAGTCATCTCCACTGAGCGGCAGCGTTCAGTCTCTCGCTGCTGTTTGTTTATTGACGTTCACCCTCGTGCCTCTCAGGCAGGGAAATGCTACTTTAAAGATCAAAGAGCACGGTTTGAGAAAAGTCCCTCTCACATCCACCCACGRCGGGTGCTTCCACTCCATTTCCTAAGAAACTGCAGAGTTGCTTTCAGTACGTTAGCAGGTGTGTCATGGCAGCTGATGAAAAGATAGCTTTTAATTTAAAAGTGGAAGAAATGAAACGCACGCGAGCCTCTGGTGTTTCACTGTGGCAAACAGACAACCGAACAGTTGCAACACTTCCTGAGAGTCTGGTTTCTGCTTGAGGCTTTTGTGATGCGACGAAAAAAACAGCATTCGGGCCAAATTTCCTCCGAACCAAGAGGACTGTGACCAAATCTGAACTGACATTTCGATATTTGCTTAGATGAAACTGAACAGTTTGTTTATGACTCACAGCAGAAGAAAGAGGTCAGCTCAAGTGAACCTGGGAAGAGTTTAAACATTGTGAATTCAGACGTAAGCACCTGTTGTTGGCCGTGAGGTCACACTGGAAACCTGAGGGCTTGTGGGAAAAGCGCAACAGCGGGCATCGGGCTTGTAGAATCTTCTGCACCCCCACACAGCCGGGCCCAAAGTGATGCACGCACTCCCCGATCACAGACAGGATGCTTTGGACGGTGGCTCGCCCCGTGTTGACCAGCTTCATCTCGTACTCCAGGGAGAGACTGGATCTGGGCTGCAGATGGACAAACTCAGATGTTTAATGAGCCCTGAACAATTCACAGCTGTTAATACAAGCAAAGAGTTTTAGGGTTTTTTTTCTTTAAATATTTAAAGCAGATGATTTTGCATAAAAAGTCTAAAAAAAGAAGCAAACAGTTTTAGTACATTTTCTTTTTGACACCTAATGTCCAAATTTGAAGCAAAGATATAGTGTAGCGTTCGGGTATGTGTTGTGAAAGACTCTCAGTTTTAGCTCAATATCTGTAAAGCCAGCTGAGTTGTAGCCATTACAGTTTGTTTGGGTTGCATAATTGTGACGGCCATCGTGAATCAGCTTGAATCCAGAAGCGAATTAGTTCTAGATGTACATCCAATGATTACTTTCTGATTTTCAATAAAATCCATCCAGTGATTGATGAAACGTTTTGCTAACGCTACAGACAATCAAACATGCACACAAGCAAGTTAATGAGCAAAAACATTCTTGCTTTCAGGGGAGGGTGATAAACAGGGCTAGCAATGTACAAGTACTGATGCATTCTTATTGCTACAACAAGGCAGGTATTTGTTTTTTGTTTCGATGACAGTTTTTAATTGAGATCTATGCCTAGTAAGGAAACAGTGAACTATGGCATTTGGTAGCAGTACACTGTTCAACCCAGACAAAATGCCCCAAAATATGAAAAAAATATTTAATAATATAATAGGAATAATAGGAATAATAGGAATAATAGGAATAATAGGAATAAGAGGAAGAAGAAGAAGAAGAAGAAGAAGAAGAAGAAGAAACAGACAACAATGGCCTTTCAGGCTGAAGGTTAGTCCTCTTCAGAGCTCTACAGCTCAGACATAAATGCACAGTAGAATCAACATTTGAAGTTTAAACAGGTCAAAGGAAGTCGGACAAACAGAACAAACTTTTTWWAAAAAGTAATGGTTTTCATACAATTACAGTTTAAGTTTGTAATTTTTGGAGATTTTAATTTGGAGAATGTTCTAAAGYGTAGTGAATGCTGATGTGTCTGTAACCTTTCTCTTTACACTCCTTATGCCAAGGGTGTCAAACTCATTTTCACCGAGGGCCACATGAGTGTTATGGCGGCCCGAAGGGCCACTTGTAATRAGCTTCGACGTTTCATGTTTAACTTTGACTAAACAGTGTTTTAACACGTCCTCTTTTAAACACTGATAAAAACTAAGTGTATGACTGACTAAATCTGAAATAAATACAGAAATATTATTAAAGTAAAACTAATAAAGTTTTACTCACTGATGAGTTTCTAGTGAGTAGCTAATATGCATTATGGCAGATTTAGTTTATGGTGGATGCTGACTTTAAAGCAGCTTATTTTCAGACAGCTCAGTTACTTAAAGCCAACAGCTCAGGGGCAGGACAATCGTTATTATCTTTCAACTTTTTAATTTATTTTGTTTCATTTAATTGAAGAAATTAAAAGTTTACCATTGATGTAAGAAGCAATTTTCATACATACATACAT